CACCAAGGTCTCCTCCTCAGACTCGGATTCGCCGTCGGATTGAGTTGGAGTTTGAGGGAATGGAAGAGGAGTGACGTCGGCGTTCCTGAGGGGCGAGTCGTCAGGGACTTCAAGCTTTTTTAGAAGAGACATCCAACCAAGGGTGAAACCCTTGTTGTATGCCTACTTCACCTGCTTTTCATAGTCAGCCGTGACATCGGCCACCCCCTCATTGTAGCCCTTCTCATCGGCTGCCTGGAGCTCGGCATCCTTCATGGCCAAGGCTTCTTGCAGTTCTTTTTGGGCATGGGCTGTCTTTTCCTCGGCCTTCCTCTTTTCGGCCTCAAGGACCTTCTTGATAGCCTCAGCGGATTCCGCCTTTTCTTCGGCGTCGTTTTGAGCTTTGATGGCAGCCTCGGCCTGATCCTCCAAAGTCTTCATCTTTGACTGCAGATTTTTCTTAGTCTTTTGCAGACTGAAGACCTCCCTCTTCTTGTCGGCCAACTCCTGCCAACTCTCAAAGGCTTGCACTGAGAAGGAATGAGCATGCTGGATGGCCTGAAAGTGAACAGAAGTTATTAGAAAATATTGTAAGTATGTAATGAAGAGAAAGAAAGAAAAATTACCCACTAAAGAGACTTACCTGAACAGAGTACTGGAGCATCAGAGCATAGTTCTCATATTCGCTCATCTCAGCGTTTCGGTCGAGATCGTCGGGAAGGAGCAGAGCGGCACTAAGGGCAACAGCGACATTAATGTCGTCGGCACTGTCGCTAACCTTAACTGGCTTATCTTCCAGTGTGATTTGGGGGGCCCAGGGGGCATCATACTTTGAAGACCCCGAGGTGGTTGTAGCGGATGACCTTGGCCTCTTTGATCGAGTAGACTCAGATGGTTGGGCCTCGACAGGTCTCTTCTCCGCGGCAGAGTGGGACTTATCACCCTCAGCCAGCTTGGAGATCGGCAAGGTGTCCTCAGTATCAACCTGAGTCACCTTTGCCTTTGGCTGAGCCTTCTTTATCCTTTTTTACTTTGGCTTTAGAGGTTGGTTTGGAGCTAGTTGAGCATCAACAGAGGATGGAATGTTGGCCAAAAGATCCTTGGCGACTACTTTTTGGCGGCCCATTTTAGCAGCAAAAACTGTTTGGTATCGTCGACGGCGCTGGGATATCGGGATCAGATATGGAGCCGAGGTAGACGGCTGCTCAGCCGGATCAGAGGTCGATCCTTGATCTGGCCAAGATGAGGAGGCTGCTTGAGGAGTTGTAGCGGAAGGCGGAGAAAGGATTCTCTTCTTCTTCTTCTTGGGGATGTCGGGAAGAGCTGACTTGTAGGTAGGAATGAAATTGAGTCGAAGAGGGGCATTCTGTTTGAGGACTGGCAAATCCAATAGTTTTCTTAAGCCTTTGCTGGGAAAGAAAGACTGACGGAAGCCCTTTGGTGGCTGAGGAGGAGCTGCAAGAAAAACAGACATTAGAAACAAATAAAGTACTGAAGACTTTAAAACAAACAAGTAAATATGGACACAAGGCTCTTACCATTGCCCTCTACAAAAACTGTTCGAGGAAGAGGGTAAAGATGGAGGTCCTCATCTGGAGCAAACTCCCAGTTCCCTGAGGTAATGAAGTAGCCGTCTCTAGCTCCCTTGTTAGAGTCTGGGAGGTCGGCTACGATTTTATACTCTGTAGATCTCGGCTTGAGGTAATAAACGTAGGCCGTATCTTTTTTTAGGCCATACATGGTATAGCAAAACTGGATATCGGCTAAGGTAACCTTAACGTTTTCTTGTTTGGCTAAGGCTATGATGCCATTAATAACTCGGTAGGAGTTGATGGCAAGCTGCATTGGGTCCAACTTATAGTAGTGAATGATTTCACAAAAAAGGATATTGAGTGGGAGCCGAAGTCCGCACTTGATGAAAGCTACAACAGGGAGGGGCATGGAATCGGTTGTGGGCATAATAGAGTCATCCTCCCCAGCCAACCTCAGATGGAAGTCGGCAGGGATGGAAAACTCTTTCCTAAAGTATTCTAATTTTGTCGGGGTGTCTACCCTATGCTTCCACATACCCATGATATCGGCGTAACTGAATGGGTTGGATTTCAGAAGGGTGTGTTTCTAAAGGGTTTTATGGACCTCGGCTAAAGCTTGAAGATACACAAAACCTGTGAGGAATCGTTTCAATTTTTCCCTAACAATTGTTTTGAGTTCAACAAACAAATCCCAAACCTAGATCTATAGAAACGAAGATTGAAGGCACGAATCTGGAAAAAAGAAAAGCAATAATGCGCTTCAGAATCAAGAACAAAGATGGACTATCAAGAACATTGTAAGTACGACGGGTATAAGGTCAAGAACAGTGGCAAAAGTGCAGAAACGTTGTGTGCAGTGCAAGTATTCAAGACATAGGCAAATAACAAAATCGTGAAATAAATACGCTCAGATGCATGATTCATGAATCGAATATTTGAGTAAAATAGTAATGGCGACTAATGAGGAAGAAAAATCTCTTGGAGTACAACAAGAACTAAAACCAGGAGGAATGGTGACTTACCAGAAAAAATAAGCCGATGTTGAGATCGCCGAAGTCAGAAGAACGGCGACAGCGGAACAGATTGGCAAGAACCTTGCCGGAGGAAATGGACGGAGCAAGTTGCAGAGCTTTGGAAGCTTGAGCAATGGAGGATCTTGAAGGGAAAAGTTAAAAAGAGAAAATAGTTTCAGACGCGAAAGTGAAAAGTGGAAAGACGGGGGAAAGAAACAAGTTTTGTCAAAACTTGAAACGGTGGCAAAAAGGGCAATTAATGCGCCTGGAACAACGAATGCGTCAGACAGCGCATGTAAGCGTAAGACGACTAGCAAGCACGTACGGAGTACAATCCAGTAAAAGGAAGACGCGTGGCTGAAACGGTTGAGTTATTTTGCATGACATCTCATACGCGTGAAAGAGATCTTGGAAACTTTTAACCTTAAAGAGACATGTCGGCCTGTATGATGATCTCGGCTGAGAGACTTTAAACCGATGTATTGACAAGAAGTTCTGGTATTGGTTCCATCACCTTAGGATGCCGAGGTAATAGAACCTAGGGGGCAGTTGTGGGGATATATTTTCTGAGTCCCAACACATGGCCAAGGTGACGCCGAGGTGTCAGCCGAGGTGTCACGTGTCCAGGTTATGACACCGAGGTGATCTCGGTTAGGGCGAGGTTATCTCCAAAGATCTTGGAATCCGAGATAAGTGGATAAGGCACAAAAGTCCTAGAATGAGGAAGGACTTTAGCATAGATAAGGATAACACTCTTAGGGAGTTTATCTTTATCTCTTGGAGAGTCCAAGATAAGCACTGAGCAGAAGTCCATTGAAGCTAGGCTTCTATGAGGACTAGAATTGAGGTAACTATAAAAGAAAGGCACCCCCAATGGGTCTAAGGTACGCAATTTGTATTCTGAACAGTTAGTTTAGCACTATTGATTATCTTTGAGAAATATACTGACTTGATCGTCGGAGTGCCACCGGGTGGACGAACCACCGCTAGAATCTACTCTTTCTGTTGCAGGTCAGCCAGGTGCCATCTATTCTGCCAGGTGTCATCTATTCTGCTAGTGTTCTCCAGCTGAATACTGAGTTGACGGTGTGATCAGAAATTCACTCACACACAAATTAAAAGTTAATAATAAATATTAAAAAAAAAACAAAAAAAAACACCAATTTTCTTTCTCAATAATTAATTTTTTTAACAAACACATTAAAATAAGGGTGAAATACCAATAAATCTCAAATAGTGATCTTATAAATTATTTTATCCTCTATTTTTTTTTTATAGATCCAAATGTCTCATTCTAGTGTGAATTACATAAATGGCCAAATATAAACGTGCGTGTGTTATGTGTTGAAAGACAAATGTGAATTTTTTCATAATATTGAAATTACTAAATGTAAAACTTCAAAAAATTTCTTAGTGTATTTTTTTTAAACGTAACACTATCCAATATAACACTTTAAAAACGTAACACTTCAATATAACACACTAAAAAACTCGTTAGTGTACATTTCACAAACGTAACACTCCAATTAATGTAACACACTTAAAAGTTCATTAATGTGTTTTTCTCAAATCTAACAACGTAACATTCTAAAAAAACTCTTTAATATATATATTTTTTAAAAACATAACACTCCAATTAAAATACAAAAACTTTTTAGTGTATTTTTTTCAAATGTAACAACGCAATATTTAAAAAAAAAATTCCATAGTGATTTTTTTTGTAAACGTAACATTCCAATCAATGTAACACACAAAAACTCCTTACACTGTGTTTGGTTAGGGAATTTGAGGAGGGATTTGGAAAAGGAAAGGGAAAAATTAGATGAAATGTGAATAAAATATACATACATTTCACCTAGTTTCACACATCTTTTCCCTTTCCCTTTTCAAATCCCTCCCCAAATCTCCCAACCAAACACAGCATTAGTCTACTTTTTCCAAACGTAGCACTCTAATACAACACTAAAAAATTACACTAACAGAAATGTAAATTTCCACGTTCGACAACCAACATTTCAACCACCAATCCCCCCAAAAAATAATTTTTCACGCCTCACCTTTTCATTTCCATTCCAAGAATGAATCAAAAAATTAGAAAAATTAATCACAAAAAGACATTCATTTAAACTCAAATGGCACCAAATCAAATAAATACAACTTTTCAAAACAAGAAGGATTAATTGATTTATAAGAAATCTATCAAGACTAGTATTATGTTTGGTTGGATGATTTGAGAAGAAATTTAGAAATAAAAAGGAAAAATGTGTGTAAAACTAGGTGAAAACATAGATATATTTTATTCACATTTAACTTATATTTTCTCTTATTTTTTTCAAATCCCTTTATAAATTTTCCAATCAAACACAATGTAAATGACTCAATATTTCTCCATATAGAATTTATAAGTAAATTTTCATTAAAATAAACTGTAAACACATAAACACATTTATTACATTTAAAATAAACTGTAAAATAATTTAAAATAAAACTGTAAACAAAAAGTTCACCAAATAATTTAATACATTTTTAAAATAAAAAACACTATACACCTTTTCATAAAATGCACACCAAACAGTGTCAATTGTTTTTGTTTCCTGTTGTTGGTAAATTTACTATGCAAAAATTGAAAACAAATAATTAAAAACCCCTCTTTTCCCCCTCTTTCTCTTTCTCACAAAAAAAAAATAAAAAATAAAATAAAATATCAGGTCCAGAGTAAGAACAACCAAAAGGCAGAAAAAATGGTGACCCCAAAGGCCACACACAACATATCCAAGGTCCATTCAGTCTTCAACTTTCTCTCTCTTCTCTCTCTCTTCATCTCCATATACTCTCTGTACCTCCTCCTCCCTTCTTCCTCCCTCCTCATATTCCCCCTTTTCCCCTCCAATGCCCTGTGCAAAATTACCAAACTGTCCTTCCCTGTCAAATGCATTCCATCCATGTCCTCCACCTGCAAGCTCACCTCCCTCACCTGCAATTCCCCACCTTCCGACTCACCGCACGTCACCACTATCCCGCAATGTACCAGTTCCGATGTAGGTCCCCTCCGGTTCCCGCCGGCGAGCACCGACCCGAACCGGACCTGGACCTCGCCGCTCAGCCAGTGGCGCTGTACGGAAACGGCTTTATGGGTGGAGAGATTCGCGGCCTGATTTCCCACCGGGTCGATTAAAACCCAACTCAGAGTCACCTCGTCGGAGAGTGAAGTCCACGCGCCGTCGTCATCCCGGTGGCGGATGGTGGTGGAGATTACGTCTTTGGTGTCCAAGAGGTCGATTCGGAACGGAGAGCACATGAACCATGAAGTTGTTGTTTCGGTTTCTTGGACTTTGGTGAAGATGAGGTTGTTTTTGTAGTGGATGTCGACGGCGGAGATTAGCTCCGCCGGCGGAGGAGATGTGGTTGTGGGGGAGAAGTTGGGGAGGAGGAGGGGGAAGGAGAGGGAGAAGAAGGAGCGGGGGCCTCCGGGGAAGGAGGAGAGGAGGTGGAGAAGGCGGGGAGAGGTGGTGGTGGAGGGGAAGGTGGAGTGGCAGATGGTGGTCCAGAGGTGGTGGTGGGAGGAGAGGGCGTGGAGTTGGGAGGAGGTGGAGCTGGCGGAGGCGAGGGAAGGGCCGTCGAGACGGGCAAGGATATGGGTTGAAAGGATGTCTTGGTGGATGTCGGGGAATGTGGTGGCGCCGCCTTCTTCCACGGCGGTGGCGGTTGGTTGTGGTGGAGACATTTGTGGTGGGTTGAGATGAGATGAGACAGATTGTTTTAGGTGTAGTCTGAGTTTTTGAGTTTGGAAATGTGGAGTTTATATATAGGAATGTGAAAATTCAAGGTGTGAACCACGTGCTTCCCCATTGGCCTTCACTTTTTTTTTTTTTTTAAAAAAAATTATAAATACACGCTTATAATTTATTTAAAATACAAATTATTTCTTATATTACATTTCAACTTCTGAAATTTTTAATTTTATAACAAATTATCCATTTTATAAATAAATTAATAAGTCAATTAATAATTTTTAATGATACTAAAAATATATTTTAATTAATAATTCAAATAATTTTATTTGGTATATGAAAATAGTTACGAATTTTATTTTTTTAGTTAATTCTATTGAATAAAAAAATTCCAATAAAGAGATATTTATAATTTTTCAAATCACAAAAAATAATTTGTATTTTAAGTAAATCTCAAGAAGTGTATTTAAAGTTTGTTTGGCAACCTTCAGTTTTTAATTTTTAACCCATTTTGGATCACATCACCTCTCATATTTTTTACCAACAAAACGACAATAACTAAAGTAGTGTTTGGTAAAGCTTACGTTTTTTGTTTATATTTACAAAAGTTTTAAACTAATTTTTGTTTATTTTTAAAAAAATATAAACTACAAAAGCGTTTGGTTTGAACAAAATGTTTGAAAATTTTTAAAAACATAAACTAAAAAATATGTTTGTTCAGACTTAAAATATTTATATTTATTTTTTATTATTTATGAAAATGAGATCATACACATTATAATTGACAAAAATTAATTGAAAAAAAAATTAATTAGAAAAAAAATTATTGTAAAAAAAATTATTTGAAAAAAAAATGAAAAAAAAAATTATTTGAAAAAAAAAATTAATTGAAAAGAAAAAATTTATTAGTCAAATTTTTAAATTTTTGTTTAAAAATCAACGTAAACTCATTTTTTGAGTTTACGTTTTTTTCTCAAATTTATAAAGTGAGACAACCATTTATAAATCAAAAAAATTATCAAATAAGTTTTTATAATAATTTTTTAAAATTTTTATAAATATAAACTAAAAAATAAAATAATTACTAAATAGATCTTAAAAATATCAAAAAATCAACTTTTAATCAAGTCAAAACACCCCATAATTCATATTTTTCTTGGTTCAATTGGCATTCCACTGCAACATTTTCTTAGTTTAGTGACATTTGAAAATGCCACAAAACTATTCTTCTAATGACATTTTTTGGTCTTGTGGCATTTTGAACAAGTGCCACTTCTATCGGTGCCACGGTAGATACGAGTGCCACGATAGATACTTGCAAGTGCCACTGCACCATCATGACTAAAAACTTTCAATAACATTTTAATGTCATAGTAGATATTATTTGTGGCACTATCAAGCGCCATTAAAAAAAGAGTTAGTGACACTTGTAAGTGCCATTACACCATCAAGACTAAAATCTTTCAGTGACACTTTAATGTCATGGCATTTTTGTTGTAGTGAAGTGACACTTTTTTTAATTGAAATGCCACTAGAGCCTTGTATGTTTGTGGCTCTATGACATTTTTCTAAAAAATGCCACCAAATATTCTTTTTGTACATTTTTTAAGAACATGCCACTAGTATGGTGTCACTAAAATATGTTTTTGTTGTAGTGTTGTGACACTTGTTCATTAAAATGTCACTAGAGCCTTTTATGTTTGTCGTTTTGTGGCATTTTTCAAAAACGTGCCACTAAATATCATTTTTGTGACATTTTCTAAAAATATACCACTAGTGTAGTGCCACTAAAGTATATTTTTGTTGTAGTATTCACTTGTTACAGGCTAGTGGGGTAGCCATTTTTGACTCGTTAGTGAATATAATTTTTCTCATTAGATAGTACATATTATCTTTAATTGATGCGGTGAAAATTTTTATGCATGAATCAATATTATATATTCGTTAAGTTATTCAGAGATGAATTTAGTGTGAATTTATTTTTTAATATATTATGGATATAATGTCATATGATATTTTATAATTACTTATTACATTTTGGGAGAATAACATATCAATGGCACATAAAGCACAAATTTACAGAATAGTGGAAATTTTTTGTACTGCTAAAAACTTGCACCAAACTTATTTAGAAGAAAATTTTGTATTTGTACAGGAGAAAAACTTATCACACTTTGCGGCGGTGTTGGATTACTTGGAACACAAATGTTGGTTTGCCTTAAAACAACACTCAAAAGAAGAACTTTAATTGATAAGTAGCGGGACTCTCTGATACCTAAATCAGTAAGGATATAAGTTTTGAGTGTAAGTTGTAGTATACTTGGATTGACTTGTCTTGTTTATATAGGCTTCAAATATGACCGTTTTAGATAGTTGAGAGATCTCTATCACTCCTCTTTAATATTCTATTTTGCATGGGATTGTGTCCTATGCGGATTTTTAGAAGTGGGTAAGTCCACATTTAGTGGAATATGTGTTGATTTGGTCTGGCTGTTCGGATTACTTAATCCGAACTCCTTCTTAGCTCAATGTCTTAACTGACTCATGATGATGTTTGTCTCTCAAGGTGTCCAAACTTGGCTTTTTGGCCTGTTCAATTCTATTTGGTAACATGCGGCTTGTAATTTGGATTTTAACTCCTTCGATATTTTATGCTGAAATGAAATAGACAAACAAATAGTTTTCTCTAAGCTTTCTAATTTCTTGTTGTAATAAAAATGTTATTGACATTAAAAATTAATAGCCAAAGAGTTACAATGTTCTTGTTTACTAAAAATAATGATAATAATTTTATGCATATACGAATATCATTATTAAAATTGATTATTCACTGTATTCTGCAATAATTGAGATTTACATCACGCAACAACTAAGCTTAAATTTGAATACCAGACTTAGTAAGAGAATTTATCATTCATCAGCCTAACTCTTTGAAAACTTGAACGGAACTAACTGGTCTTTAATTTTCACAAAAGCATAACATAGCATTTAAATAAGCCGACATGTTTGATACCTCCAGTTAAAGTCAAGCCCAATAAATAGTTTTTTGACTCACAAACTCAAATTCAGTTGAGTTTCTTAATTGTTTCAAGGAGTCAAATTGTTAGCATAGCATTTAATTGTTACTTATTCAAACAATTAACCGGGTTGAATCACTCAAGTCGACTCATCAAAACTAACATTCTCACAAGTCAATGGTAGGGCATTTTTGTCATCTAAAAATTCATTGTGTGTATTGGAGCTTCAAGATATCACAATGGGGGTTGATAGATCAAGCCAAAAGAATAATTAATTATTCATTAATTTTCGAAAATCATCATGTATTATTTATATATTGTTCTCAATTTATGACAATAAATAATATTATTTATTCATCTTTATCAAATCAGAGACAATATTTTATAATTTCTCATTCATTAAAAATATCACATAAATTATATTACATTAGAACTCTAGAGGCTAATTATTTATATTATAATGAACCAGCCAGGTCCACACGCTTATTTTCAATGCTGGCGTTTTAGCTTTAACCTTAAACTACTCCACTTAAAATAAAGAAATAAATTTTAATATAAAAATAAACTAAGATATAGGTAACATCATCATGGTCTATAATTTATTCACTTGAATTTATTTTTGTAACTATGTGATTAATTTAATATGCATCAATATCTTAGGTTGATTACAGTGTTTTGGGTCAAACTAGATTACCAATGGAAATTATTAAATATTTTTTAACATCGTTTTCCATTGCGCAAGGTCGTGTTAAATAGGGTACGCCGGAGATTATTTAATTGTTTGATGAAATAGATTTTGCCAGCATTTATATATATGTTTTTATTATTGTTTCATTGTAGGTTGAGATTAATTCACCTTACACCATTCTTTCAACTCATTACATCTTTTCATTAGGAATGAGAATCTCGACTGGATCATACTATTGAGCTTGTGAGCCCTATCACAAGTTTCGTTTTAATAATTCGAACTATTCAATATGTAAATCTCGTCGTGTACTTCATCCCTATGAAAAATTACATCGATCGGATATCAGTAATCCTTCAATCGGAACACATTTTTGTTAATAACTTATTTTTAAAATCATGTTACCATTGGTAAAAATGTGTTCTGATCAAAAGACTATTGATATTCGATCAATGTGATTTTTTTTAATGATGAAGTAACTCTATATATTGAATGGTTCAGATTATCGAAACAGGATCCATGATAGGTCTATGAGCCAACAATACAGTCCAGTCCACAAAGTGAACTAGAGAGAAGCTCATTCCTTTAATTATAATTTTTTATTACATTTTTATTTTTATTTTTATTTATATTTAATATAAAATCCTCTTACCTCAAAATTAAAAAAAAAAAATGTTTTGGAGTTCTAATTTTTGAGCTTTAAAGTCAGCTCTAATGAGCTGGCAGTAGACCCCACTCACTGTGATGTAATGTTTTGGTCTTGGTTTATTTTATTTTTCTTTTTGTCATGTCATTAGTGTTTCATTAGAATACCAAAATTAGTGCATTGTTGATTAAAAAAAAAAGAAAAGTTAGGAATCATGAAAATTTTTTCATGAAAATGATCATGAAAGATTTATGATCTTTGGATTACCTTGATTAGTGTGTGATACTTTATTCTAAGTGTAATCCAAAGTCACAAAAATTTCATGATTATTTTCATAAATTTTTTTTCATGATTCCTAATATTATTGTTAAAAAAATCATTTTCATTACACCCTACCTCATCACTACCATCTCTACTAGCCCACCACCCTTTCCCTCTACTGAGCCCTTCACTGCCAACCATTGCCATCCAACTCCTTCTGCCCCATCTCGGCACCCTTCTCCAGCAGCCCCCAACCCAAAACACCGTTGTGCCGCCCTTACCTCTCCCCATATCATTGCTCTTCATCATCCCCACCTCCTTCGGCCGCCATCCTCCTTTTTTTCCTACTCCTATTCATTCTCATTTTTTTCTTTTACATCTGAAAACCCTAAGTTTTTTTCTCTTTCTCTTTCTCTTTCTCTTTCTTGCGGTGG